GTTTTGGAAATCTGTGTTCTACAGTTTGTCAGTCCTTTACTTCTATCAGCTTACTTGCTTTGTTTTGGAAATCTGTGTTCTACAGTTTGTCAGTCCTTTACTTCTATCAGTTTACTTGCTTTGTTTTGGAAATCTGTGTTCTACAGTTTGTCAGTCCTTTACTTCTATCAGTTTACTTGCTTTGTTTTGGAAATCTGTGTTCTACAGTTTGTCAGTCCTTTACTTCTATCAGTTTACTTGCTTTGTTTTGGAAATCTATATTCTACAGTTTGTCAGTCCGTTACTTCTATCAGTTTACTTACTTTGTTTTGGAAATCTGTGTTCTTGAGTCTCAATACCATTACTGATTAAAGCTGGCAGTTTTTTAGGGATACACAATGATAAGTGTTATAAATGGCTCAGAGTTTTCAAAATCACAATCACATTGTTAAAGTTATGACAAAGGAACTCAAAATCTGTAATGAAAGTAGTCACCAAGCAGATCACAGGTTTGTCTCCCAAAACATACCAGTAGTATGCAGTGAATTTGTGTGATTTTTTTTAACATGTCTTGTTCCAATGAGGATCTCATGTGGGGAAAGAACTATAATAGTGTAAGCATATTTAAACAGGGTAGACGTGACCAATAAAACATTTGTCCTTATTGAAAAGTAAAATGAGAATTACAACACAGAAATTGATCATTTAGTATCAGTCTATATTGATTATTGGGAAATCAAGATAAACATTAATTCTGGTATTGAAATTTTTCCTACTTTTACTCAAAATACTTGTCTCCGATCACAAGTAGAAAGCAACTAAACTAAATAAGAACAGTGTACAGTGTCTCCAGTCACAAGTAGACAGCAACTAAACTAAATAACAACAGTGTACAGTGTCTCCAGTCACAAGTAGACAGCAACTAAACTAAATAACAACAGTGTACAGTGTCTCCAATCACAAGTAGACAGCAACTAAACTAAATAACAGTGTACAGTGTCTCCAGTCACAAGTAGACAGCAACTAAACTAAATAACAACAGTGTACAGTGTATTTATAATATTGAAATACTTAATGTAGTTCTATTCTTAACAAAATGGTTATTATACAACTAATATTGAACCTGTCATTAACATAAACCTTCCAATATATCATCCTACAGTTTGTTAATATAACAAACTCTTATTCTTTGCACAACTTCAGAATATAACTTCAGTGGAATTTCCATTTGCTGTTGAAACACCAGTGAAGGGACAAATACTATTGTTGTTGTGTACCAATTGTCTGTTTCAACATTATCCAAGGCCACTTAATACACAGCCATGGCCAATTGACATTTCATATAAACATTTTTAGGAAGAAAAAAAAAGCATATGTAGAGGCTGCTGCTTGGGAGCTCATTTATAGTCTAGCCATTTTAGGCTGTACTATTATAATAGAAATACAAGAATGTAGTGGTCTTTCTCATTTACATTCTACTTGTGTTCACTTGTTGATTGATTGTTTTTTGTTATATCTACATTGCTTCATTTTTTATTCCTGATAAGTCATACTGTATTTGGACTTTCAAAATATTATGTGAACCTCTCATTCAGCTAAAACCATTTCAATTTATGTTGAAGAATGTGTGTACATGTCAAATATTGTAGGTGTGTTCTGTTTAAGTAAAGAACCCGTGTTAGTCAATGCTTATTAACTACTTGACTTTTAAATTGAGTGTCGTGTTGGAGGGTTTACTTTAATATGTAATAGTATTATGTGGTTACTCATATTACGTATTTATCATAAATACATTGTTGCATTCATTTGCAATGGAAATTTTAAACTCTGGGGCATAACGGGTCGTTTGGGGGAAATTAAATTAATGCATTTTTGTTCCACCTTAGCAGTTTTCCATACATCAGTTTATGTTACAGTTATTGCACATAGAGTAAAAAATTTTACTAGCATGGTTAAGATAAAGAAATAAGTTACTATGTACCACTATATTTAGCTCTGTTGTTTACTTCTCTGGCACCTACTGTATTTTGAAACAAGAAAATGTATCATGATTTTGTTAGCAAATACAAAGAAAACAGTAGAGTTCAACAGGTATGTTGGACATCTTTAACTTGTAGTAAAAATAAATTATTTAATATTTTTCCAAAAAGAGCTAGTCATAAGATTATGAGTTTTAGCTCACATGGATTTCATTTTGGTGTGTTTAATAATGTTGTAAAAGTGTTTTACATACTTCATGAAACTTGTGTTTTTCAGAGTATGACAGTTGTAAACCAACAGACTGGTCACCAGAAGAAAAGTGTTGTTTTTGTAGTGCAAAAAAGCAGCCACCTTATGTAAGTTCATTTGTTATTTATATGTAGAGGTTCATGTTGTTATTGTAGTGCAAAGAAGCAGCCACCTTCAGTTACTGTTATTTTTATGTAGAGGTCCAAGTTCATGTTGTTATTTTAGTACAAAGAAGCAGCCACCTGCAGTTACTGTTATTTATGTGTAGAGGTCCATGTTCCTGTTGTTATTGTAGTGCAAAGAAGCAGCCACCTTCAGTTACTGTTAGTTATGTGTAGAGGTCCATGTTCATGTTGTTATTGTAGTGCAAAGAAGAAGCCACCTTCAGTTAGTTATTTGTGTGTAGAGGTCCGTGTTCATGTTGATTTTCTGAAGAGATAAGGAAAGTCAAAAACTGGTACTACAATGTTGTATTTTTCAGCGGATTTTGTTGGTGTTGATTTTTTTAACTGTACTTAAATAGTACTAAGAATTATAGTTCAAATATTGATTACATTAAAAACAGGAATATGTTAAATCTTTTACAGTTATTGAAATATTATTAAATACTTCAAAATCAAATGAATTACAGTTTGTCTGTCATTTGCAGAAAGAAAGAAAAACATTAATACAATTTTAATGAAACAAATCTATATGCTTATATAAAAAAGACTTAAGTTTAAATACTTCACTATTCTAAATCCAGAAAGAAGGAGGAATTTTGAATGGTTCCTAACAGGCTTATTTTTCCTAAAATGTACAACAACTTAGCAGTTCTGTACGTATAGTACAAAAATTACAGCTACTACATGCAGTTTGATAAATTGCAATAATAAAACATTATAAAAGATCACAAGGTGACACTGTCAACTAGACAAAGAAACCAAGTTTACTTGTTGAATTCAAGCAGCTTTCATAGTTCATTTTTACTTAGAGAATGTTAAGTACAGACTATATGAGAGATCATGTATTAGTTCTGTGGAGAACAATCCTGAGAGAGTGAAAGCTATAAGACTAAACACCACCAGTATATAATCAACTGGGGCCCTGTTTGCAAAAGTATGTATACAGCATTTTCTTTTTTGTTTAATAATAAAGATTGTGTTTGTTTCATTCAAGTTTGACCCACCTTGTTATATCACATGCAGGATAACTCAGTCAAGTTACCAAATACAGAGTATTCCACAAATTTCCTGACTGACCCTGCTGCTATTAGCTGATCTATCTATCTGATAATTGTGAGAAAATCAGTTCACCTGACAACAACAAAACTATAATTGATTAATAATTCCTATTTTTCTTTTCTATTATATATATATTATTCATTGTTCAGGTTCTTATTGTCTTGCAAGTTGAAGAGATATACATGTGAAGGACCTTTTAAAGGCTCAAAAAAAAAGTTTTTATAGTTCTCCATGTTTCTTCTATTACACTGAATTTGGTATATTGATACATTAATGTATCCTCTGTTATCATAAAGCTTAAGTGATTTTTGTTCTTATCTTGTTTGTTATTGATGTTGTTATTCCATAGTTTGAGGTGGGTACTTCTAAATGATACAACACCTACATTGTGCTTGATATCAGCAGTTCCTATTTCATGAGAATTTTTTGACTGAATGAACTTATGAGGAGAAATAATTTCTTCTATTTCATCTAAGAAGTTTCCAGCAGCATCTTTTGGAAAACTTTGGCTGAGTTCAAAACATTTCAAAGTCAGGTTTGATTATTCTGTATAATTGTTAGGACAAAGACAGAAGGCTAGGTAATGCATACCTTTTTAGACTTCTTAATACTTGTTTAATATCACAGGCTATGCTTCAGCTAAAGTATGTAACACATTTAGTTTTTGAAGTGTTCAAGAAATTCAGCCAGCTGTCTTTTTGTTCTTTCCATAGTAAACTTGATATCCATATGGACATAATAATTGCCTTCATTCTGGAGAACACTACATATCACAACATCTACGTATCTTTTAGTAAACTTGATATCCATATGGACATAATAATGGTCTTCATTCTGGAGAACACTACATATCACGACATCTACGTATCTTTTAGTAAACTTGATATCCATATGGACATAATAATTGCCTTCATTCTGGAGAACACTACATAGCACGACATCTATATATCTTTTAGTAAACTTGATATCCATATGGACATAATAATTGCCTTCATTCTGGAGAACACTACATAGCACGACATCTATATATCTTTTAGTAAACTTGATATCCATATGGACATAATAATCGCCTTCATTCTGGATAACACTACATAGCACGACATCTATATATCTTTAAGTAAACTTGATATCCATATGGACATAATAATTGCCTTCATTCTGGAGAACACTACATAGCACGACATCTATATATGTTTTAGTAAACTTGATATCCATATGGACATAATAATCGCCTTCATTCTGGAGAACACTACATAGCACGACATTTACGTATCTTTTAGTAAACTTGATATCCATATGCCATAGTGGATCGTCTCTCAGACGTGACTTTCCGAATAAAATGTGATCGGTGAATTAAGCTAAAGGTGGTGCATGCCAACAGGCTTTGGATTTATCACGGTCCAGGACATTTCAGTTGGAACAAAGGGAACAACAAAACAATTGACGCTGCTGAAGACGTGTCGCATGAAAAAGCCACTGTCGAAGAAGAAACTACCTGGTTTTGAGAAGGGAAATAGTGAAGCCCTTGATGAAGTTACTACCACTGATGTGACTGTTACCGATAATAAGACATTTCCTGATGGAGCAGATGAACCCCACGTGAAGCAGAAGCCAACAAGACAGAGACCAGTACGGATGAAGATATGTCCTGTAAAATTAAGAGACTTTGTTGTAGTTTAAATCTTGTGTTTGTAAATTCTGTACATTTAATCAAGTTATTGTTAATTATCTATTAATTGTCAGTGAATTATACATTTACATATGCATTATCTTCAAATTTATGTCATCATAGAATTCTTTAATGGGCATAGAGAATAGACTAACAAGATATATTTGCCATTTTAGGACCCTGCTAGTGGTATTTACCATTCTGAAGATGGAAGATGGAGCATGAAAAGTTTCCTTCCAGATGGCATGAAAGGTATTATAATTGTATGATCAGAATGCTTGGATTAAAAATTAGAAGAAATAAAAAGTCCATAATGGATTAATTTTAAATTCTAAACAATATTTAGCAGTTAGTAGTGTAATAGCTTTGTTAGTCTGTCAACTTTAAACCAATCTCTGTTCCATGTTGTAATACATCACTGATGGTGAAGAAGACACGAATATTCAGAAATAACATTTGATAATTAATAAACTCTGTGGTAATAAGTTAGGTATTGGACAAAAATAACCTTTGTTTTTTGTAAAAAAAATTTTTACTGGAATCTTTATAATTTTCTTTTTGTTTTAAAACATCTTATCTAATGAAAAATATAGAAGTCAGAGAATAAAGAAAAAACTTAAAAAGAAAGATAGATATAATAATTATGTATTTAAATATTTATCAAACTAGGATTGAAGAAGTAAAATCATCAAAAAATAAAAGTTACTTGTATATAAAGTATGATGAGCTTTACGTAATAATAGCAGTAGTACAGTTGGCTTACAATTTTATACAACTTTTACACTGCTATATGTAAAATATGTAAAAAATTTCAAATTTACTTTAAAAATATTCCCAGCTTTTAATGGTAAAATGAGCAAAACTGATTTTGTAAAGTTAAATCCAAGAAGGTATGTGAACTGAACTAAAACTATTTATCCTAATAAAATCAATATTTTTAATGAGTGCAATTCTCATTCATTCCAAATTTCTTCCGTAATTAAAATTTAAAATTTTTTTGTAAAAGTTTATTGTTACTAAATTAGAACAATCAAAAAAGAAAGTCATTTACATGTATAACTATGGGTTTGAGTGTTAGATTAGGCTCTGGGTATTATATATATATATATATATATAT